TTTATAAAACTAATGTTTGAGTTGGTGTGCTTTTCAGGTATAACATATCTCAGAGATTTCCTTCACCTTCCTCCTGAAATTGTTCCAGCCACCCTTCGCCGGCAGGCCAGGACTGAGACAGCTAGACCACGGCCTAAAGGTAGGTGCAGAGCAGGACTGCCCCTGTAATTTGTGTCAAAAAAGTTACTCATTTATCACATGCAAAATGTGATTTCTTAAACAATTTACTAAAAATGGATCTTGGAGTGATCATTCATTTAGCAGTCTCAATAATTCATTCTACAACGGTATTGTTGTATTTTAGTCTGACAGGCCTTGGTCAGAAGTCTTCTGGGACTGGTTTTTCATTTTCGGTTGTTGCTGTAACCTACAACCGTGGACAAATTGTGTTGGAAAATGTGCGAGAACATGAAATTGTAATACTGTAACACTTACAGATAAAGTGTCAGTACCCTCATTCTCCTTTTTGTGGTTAGAAAAAGTAAAATGAAAACTTGTGTTAGAGGAAAGTGTTTTGTCTACATTGCACAGGGGTGGGAAGGGGCAAAATGCATTTAGAATGAATTTTTCCAACCCTTATAACCAAGGTTGTAGATTAGAAGTCGCCCCCGCTTTCCCCAAGGAAAAAGGCACTACAACCCCACTCCGTAACTTAATTACTATACATGTTTAGGTCCTGACCAACCTCGTGGCCCTCCCTCTGGAGACTCGGCTGACCGTGAGGCATACAGACGTGGACCTGCACCAGGCATGGAGCCTAAAGGTGGAGCAGGATCAGACTTCAGACCTGAATTTGTAAGTTTTACATGTCTTGTTGATCTGTAATGATACTCTGCAAGATTCACAGAATGAAATGTGTTTGCACTAGTCATTGAAATGAAATTTAGCCACAAAGTTAGTGATTTAAACTGGAAATTAATGGTTTCCTTGTTAAATCAAAGCACATTAACATTTCACAACATCACACACTGGTAGAATAGTAGCAAGAGCAGCGTGTTACTGAAAGTTGAATCAACTGAAGACATGGCTCTAAACAGGTTGACATTTATACAAAACAGAATAAATTTTCATCCTTGTTTAGTAATTCTATTTAATTTACCCTCTACCTGAGTGTATATATTCAGTAGAACTGTCATTCTGTGCAATTTCCTGAAGTTAATTTGGTTTATTTTGTTGTTTGTGTTCTGCAGAGAGCTGGTTTTGGTCGTGGTCGAGGCGGTGGTGGTGGTGGTGGCGGAGGCGGAGGTGGATTTGGAGCTCCCCCTTCACAGTGAACCAGTGAACAATATCGTTAATAGCATGAAAAATAAACATCAGTGAAATAAATCTTTGTTGTAGCCATCACTTCTTGATAAAGCATTCTTCAAACATTTTAAAATGAGTAGCTTAGTCACATCTGGGCCACAAGTGCAAGCAAAATTGCTGGCTACTTATTGGAGTATTCAATATCTTTGAGTACAAAACTAAAACACAGAAGACTGTCAATCCAGCACCATTCGACAGTTTCAAATATAACTTACACAAGACGAGTCCGAGGATTGGTAACATAGTTGAAAACCAAGTTTTTGATCTAACTACATGACTATGACGCAGAAGACTGTGTCTAAGCACATTACCAAACTTCCGGAAGAAAGTTGAAAACACATGAAGTAATGTAGCACAGTATTTTTTGATAAACTTTAAGGTATTTGGAAATGTTGTCAAGTACTGTCTCGTGTTTGATATAATTTCTCAATTCCAACTAAAACTAAACAGAAGCAGAGAAATGGAAATCTTAAAAATGTATCCAAATTAAGATCAGGCTTCCAAACACATCACAGGCATGAGTTTCTTTGTTTAAACAAAATGAATTATCAATCAGTTTGAAAACTAATTTTGCACACCTGTTTAATACTGGAAAGAACATTCCATGAGACCCTGCATTAATTTTATTTACCCGCTTGAACACCTGAATATTGTCCACTTTAAGTTGCTTTGAGACTTCAAGAAACCAAGTCAAGTTGCTTGTTTACTAAAGCAGGGAAACACATTTTGCTCTTGATTTCCATACAGCTACAAAATCATGGGATAGGCTGGGAATGTTTGAACACCAGTAACACCTTTGCATCATAAGAAATTATTTTTATTTCAAGTTTAACTTGTTTTCTTTGGTACTGAACTCTAAATAATTATAATCGTTCACACTGCTATATCTTAATAATTTCTTTAGCTTGTAATAAATTGTTTTAAAACTGCTGCACAATGCAAAGCATTGACTAGCATTATTATATGGCTTTTGTTTGTAGCCAATGATGTGCTCTCTGATTGGCTAATTCTAGGGCATTATTCTGCCATAATGCCCATGGGCCAATTGCAGGCCTGCAACAACAAAGCAAAAAGCCATATAATAAACATCTTATTAACCTCAAACATCCAGTCCTTCCGGGAAAATCTCAAACCTTAGCCTTGCTTTATTGACCTCACTTTTGCGCAGTCAATACAACAAGGTCTCTTGATAAGCAGTTAGACCAATGTAAAGTTTAACGCAAACTAACAAAAAGAGCTTCTGGTAGCAGGTTAGAAGAGGAGCAAATACTTAATGTTTTCAATGTATAAGTACAGACAAAACTTCAAATCAGGATTTCCTTGGACAAAGAAACTTGTTTGGTTGGACTTATTTATTGAAAACATTTTAAAATTCAACTCAATAAAGTGGTTCTTTGCATGTGAAAGTTTGCGTCATAATCCACCAAACTTCATGTTTCTAATGAAAAATCACTTTATATTATTTTGATACTCAATTGGTCACATTTTTTCATAACACATTCACAAAACTTAAACCCTGCTGATATAGTATTCTTTGTGATTTTTATTGGCAAGTTATTTTCATCCTGAATTCTATGGTATATAAACTTTGTAGAAAACCTAACAAGACTTAAACCTGAAATTCTCAACAGGGATCTTTCTCCTTGCAATATCCATAAGATTATCAAGTAAACAGGTAATTAAAACAAAGATTATCCTCACCTAACATAAAGGAAGTATAATGTCCAGTAAAGACAATTTAAAGACCATTGAACTGAAAAGGGTTTAACAAATTATTTTTTTTATTTCATTAGTCTCACAATAACTCATCAGCAAGTTTGAAAACATATATTATTCTTTGTGCTTTGTTGTGTAACCTAAATGCCAAAAAGGCACCCTGCAAGCAGAACCTTTTCTCACTGTATGACATGTGCTCTGTAGTCGCAGAGTGCCAGAAAGGTTGACCTTAATCTGGGTGTCAGGCTGTGTCATGGTTGCAAGAAAAACAAACACTATTTTAAAATTTTCCAAAAATCCTGTCCTATTTATTAATATATTTTATATTTCTGGTTGGGGAGGAGAGAGCAAGGGGTAACTGAGAAAGACAGGGAATTAGAAAGAAAAGCATTTTTGAGATTGGGGTGTGAATGTAATAACATCAAACACTCAAGACTGTGTTTGACCACATTTCCAAACATCGAGAAAACTTAGAAATGTTTGGAAATGTGGTCAAACACTGTCTTGAGTGTTTGATATAATTATCTTCTCAATCAATACTAAAACTAAGGAGAAAACAGAGAAATAAAATTATAAATATCTATGTTAATTAAGATCACATATCCAAACACCATCACGGTCATGATTTAACAAGTTATTAATGAGTTTGAGAAATTTTATAGAACAATGATCAAACTTCAGGAAGAAAAAAGGTTCATAACTACATGATGTCTTATTTTCTAATACAAAAATATAACTTAGAGTAACTATCTAGATACGATTTGTTTTGTACTTTGTATTTCCAGATTCCAATTGATCCTTTCATACTGTATTTAATAAAGCTTTCAAAAATTTTAGTTGATTTTTTTTGTTTTGCAGTTACATCTAACACAGAGATCCAATTTCCAATGAAGATATTTTTCTTTCTCTAACATAATAGCTTTCTGATGCCTAGCAAAATCAAGCTTCTTCATTTTATTAAACTCCTTAGTGTTAGCCTTTCTCTGGTCATCACTCCCACAGCAAAACAATTTACTTCAGAATTCTATTAAAAAAATTTCTGAAGATAATCCAAATACTTCTAAAGATTTTCCTTCAACGGCATACATCTTAAGAAAACATGCATGAAATTTGCTTCATTTCACTTGACCCTATGTGATTACTAAGGCTATGTTCAAACTTGGTGTCCAAGCATGCTGCCAGAGCACAATTCTCTCTGGGCACTAATGTGAACACACCTTTTCTCCAAGTATGCACACCAGAATTAAGGTACAGTGCCTGTGCCTGGGTGCAAGTCTCAACCTTGTACTTGGGTACTAAATGGTACTTGGGTACTTGGAGTACCCAGTGTGTGCACGTAACACTATTTTGTACCAGTCTTCAAGCACTATTTAATGTGAACACAGCCTAAGACTACAATGGTAAATTTATCATCACTACAGGCACTCCAGTGACTTTTATGTTACCCCGTTGATTCTCTTCAGGACATAAATCGTGCCTACATTGTCCACTGATACAAACGTCTTGAAATCTGGTGAGATATGGATGCTTTTTGCTTGGACTCCCTTCAGGTTAAATTGTTGGCACAATGTGCCATCTCTTTTCCACCACTGTGTAGCAACAGAAAGAAAAATTAACACCATTTAATTTTATGATCATGGAAGAACACGATTTTTCAATCTGCATCAGTTCTTAATGTAGCAACATTTGTGTAAATTATTGGACCCCTTGTGCCAAATATTTCATTTGTAAAACTGAATCCAGTTAATAGATACCATGCTGTTCTACTAATTCCCAGATGTGACATTGAAAAAAATTGGTAACACAAAGGAGAATTTGTCAATACCTTCCCGTGCCACTCCCTGCAACCAACTTCCCCTCCCCCAGCCCCGCCCTAAACTCAAAAAGGTGGTTTGAAAAATTCTGAATGGGATTACACTTTTTATATGATGTCCTTAATTTGGACTAAGTACAATAAGGTGTACACATGGTGTATACATGTACCTTAATGTTGTTGCTGACAGAGACCAGCATGTCGCTGTCACTTGAGAACCAGCAGCTGGCAACCCAACCATCATGTTTACTACAGACTGCAAGTTCCCTTCCATCAGCCATGTTCCACACCTACGGTAAGAATTACAGCAAGATTAAGTTTACTAATATTTACCATTTTTCAAACTTCAAAAACAGCTGCTTGATTTAACATCACAGTCCTATGATTCCAAGCAATACTCACGCGCACTGTTCCGTCATCACAGCCAGTACAGATAAATTTGTTGTCTTGTGAGAATGATGCAGATCTCACAACATCAGGGTGAGGCCCAAGGGAGTAACAAAGACTTCCAGTAGAAGAATCCCAGACCTAAAATTATCAAATTATAGCAAAAGGAGTGATTCAAAGAACATTTTAAACAATTCACAGTATACAAAAGCAAAACCAATATGAAAGGGAACTTGCCGAGACACGCTTACTATTGATCCCAGACGTCTGTTGAAATGGCTTTTTCTTTTATAGGCCGTTTCACACACCGTTGGTTTGAACAAGTGATGACAACCATCTCTCCACTACAGTTTGATGCACAGCTGTTGCAAATTCCTCAAAAGTATCAAGTTTGAGGCAAATCTTGTCCATGCAATAGATTTTAGATCATTCAAACTCTTCTCTGCAGCATATCTTGAATTGTACCTTGTTAGAAAGTGCTAAACTCAACAAACTTACAAACAAACTGTGAAGCACTTTCTCCGACGACAAGAGATTCCCTCATCACATGATCATGACATTTGTCATCACATGATCACTTTTTTAATTCCGTGAATGAAATCAACAGTGCATGCGCTGGCCTGAAAAAAAAGTAATTTCAACGAACGTCTGCGATAAATAATAATAAGCACCATCCCTTGTATTAGCACCCAGCCCTTTACAGTCATGAAATTAAATCCACCCCCATGACATGAGGCCATTTGGTGTATCATTTGACGTACTGTAATTACAGTTAGCTCAAGCACAACATCATCACTATGACTAACATCAAGTTAATTTCCTATGGAGTTTTTGTTAGAAAAAGATGTAAAAAATGTGAAATAGCAATCAAGAAAGATGGTTTCCTTCAGTGCTAAATTAAAAGAAGTGGGTTTTTTTTAACAAATATTTCATATTATTCAGAATAGCTATTTGTTGAAAAGTTTGCAGTTTTCTTGGTTACCTTGGCATGTCTGTCCACTGAGGCTGAAAGCAGTCTCTTGTCGTCTTGAGAAACATCACATGACAGAACATACTCACTACTGCTGTGAGGGCAAGACAACTCAAGCGATCCATTCTGTACATTCCACACCTACAAAATTACAACAAAAATGATTTCAGCAAAAGCCATCTCTTTACATGTAGCTTAAATCGCTTTTATTGTTTACTTACAGCAGTGGAGATCACTATCCCAAATATTCAAACTTTGCAGAATAGAATTAAAGTAATTCTTGAACAGCAGCATACACTGTACCTTCAGTGTCCCATCTAAGGATGCCGTTAGCAATAGATGTTGGTTCTGGTTAAAGAACATGCATCTTTGTATACTTGCTGTGTGACCTTCCAAAGAGAACATTAATCTGCCGTCCACACAGTGGTAAACCTTTAAACAAGTAAATATTTCACAGCATTACTCAATAAAAACGTGTTCAATATGGTTCCTAAAGTTATCAAATTCAAAACATCCAATAATTCTGGCCCCAGCTGTTCGAAAGGTGGATAATGCTATCCGCTGGATAAACTGCTTTTCAGTGGATAAGTGCTGACAAAAAAAACTGTGCTATCCACTGGATGTTGATTCATCAAGTGGATAGCATTATCTACCTTTCAAACAACCCAGGCCTGCAATGTAAACAAGCTACTACTGCAAGTGACATGCTGCTATAGTATGAAGTTTCAAAATGACACAACAGTAAAGGTCCAGCTGGGGGCATCAGAAAATGCCATAATCTTTCCCATTTTCTTTTATCCTTCCCTCCTTCTTCTGACAAGATCTGTGTCCCACCAGTGTCTTCCCAACCCATCTCCTTTTTGTACAAGTTCCCACTCCCCTCATAACATACCCTCTCCCTGGCCCCAATTCCAGATCCCTGTGAGCTAATAGAATGTACCACAGAAAGACAAAACTGATAGAAGCTGATTCATTCACGAAGACAATAATAGTATTATCACCTTTGCAGTGCAATCCTCCGAGACTGATACTAAAACTTGGGAACATTTAGTGAAAACGCACCACTTGACACGGCTAGAATGACTCTTGAATTCTTGGATCACTTTACAAGTTGAGCTCTCTAAAATCTGCAGGTGCAACAGAAGGCAGATTATACACTGTCTGACCTGACAAGCAAATAACTATCAATTCATTCCAAATAATCTCTTAAACATATAGTAAAAAATCAGAAAATCTTTTTAAACTGTAAATTTATAAAGTTTTACATACAAGATATGAGTAAATTTATATATTATGATGTGAAAAAATGATTGGTTTTCACCTGAGTGTCAATAATTCACATTTGACTTGCTTTTGCCTCCAGTCAGAAGTATTATTGTGCCTTACACACACAGATTTTCCCACGCCTCAAGTCAGCTACATGTATCTACTTGATTCCTGACTAGTTCACTAGAGTCAGTGTCTCTGTCCTTTGCTATTAGCCAAAGTGACTTCTTTGGTTTTGGGTTCATGAAAGATATGTTGCTAAGAAGAATTGCTACACTGGCTTCATTTGGTCAAGAACACTAAGAATGAGTCATGGCATCCTATGATTATTCGGGTGTGAGTGAGGTGAATTGTTCACTAACTAATGTTGTACCTTAACCACACCATCATCTAAACCAATGGCAACCTGTCTTCCATCACTGTTAAAACTAATGCTTGTTATTCTAGACTTGTTTCCTTCACTTTGTGACAATAACTTGGTGTCCTCACCTTCAAATATCTGAAAGACAAGGTCAAGATTTCTTACAAGCCTTGTGTCAGATGTTTATTCATAGAGTGACCTAGTATTTCAGACTCTCAATATAATGAGCACTGGATTTAAAGAAATGTTTCCTTGGAACACAGAGTCAACTAAAAAAGGGTATGATCTTATATTTGCATATAACAAAATATAAGTTGCTCTTTACCATTAGCCTGTTGCAAGTGTCAGTTATGGCAATTGTCAAGGAATCCCCCAAGAACATCACATCAAACACCATTCTCAGCTTGCTTGATTCTTGAACATTGTTCATGTCAACAGCCCAAATCTATATGGAAGGATACGTTTGACATACATAAATAAACTTTATTACTAGTCTGGGAGGATAAGAAGTCATACATGGTGTCGTTATGGGCTCAAATCTAAGAAATATTTCCCTGTGGAATAAAAGGATAACAACTTTTTCTGCATGCTTCCATCCGCCTGAATAATATTCAGAAAGTCATCCACACATCCTCTAACTATACCTTCACAGTTTCATCATCAGAAGATGATACCAACTTGCAGGAATCCTGTGAAAAGGCAACACAGTGCACCCAACCCGAGTGTCCTCTGTACACACCTATGCTGCCTTCACTAACAGCATTCCACAGCTGAAATTTAACAATAAACAAGCATTTTTCTATCATTTCTTTTTCTTGACTTTATGTACATACATACACAAAATAATGGGTTAAATCAGACTGAGATGAACTTACTGTACCTGTATAGTAGTGTCAGAAAGGCCCACAGCCAAAATACTGTCATCCCGTGAGTAAGCCAGTGACAGAGTTGTAGAGGATGTATGAATGTTCTTTATTTCTTGACCAGTTTTGGAATCCCAGATCTAAAAGAGAAAAACAATCATTAACTATTTCAGCCCATGACAAATGCCCTTGTATTGAGGTTGTGTACAC